AGGAGGCAATTGGATTTCCTTGTATTTCTTTTGAAGACATTTCGCTTCTCATCCAAGAAGCTTCTTCAGCTCTGACTAGATGGTAGGGAGTAGATAGTAGGGAGATCTGGTCAGAGCTGAAGAAGCTTCTTGGTTGAGAAGTGAAACGTCTTCAAAAGAAACACAAGCAAGTCCAGTTGCCTCCTGAGAAAAAGCATCTTTGGGCCATCTCTTTTTTGAATTAACAAACTAAATTCTTACAATGAGTATTCATTACTTTCAGCAAAATGTTTGAATCAACACTGTCACTACTAATGTTCGTTTAGTTACCATATTTTGCACATTTATTTCCTTCATTGGAAAAAATAAAAAAATGATTGACCCACTTACCTTGTTAATTATAATTTTCTTGCATTTTACTGCATTACTAGCTCCATTTCTTTTCTTCTCTACTGTTTCCTCCAAAGGGTCATATGTTTGGCAGAGATATTGGCTTGAAGTCCTAATAACCACTAATTAGCAAGTGAAGGAAAGTTTATCAATACCTCAAGTGTCAGTTTTAATATCCTAGGTTTCAAGTGCAAACCAGTTGATTCCAGTGACTTAGTTCAGATTATTATCTTAGTAAGGAACAACAGCAGCACCCAAAAAGGTCATTACTCCAAAGGACCATTTCCTTTCACTGGCATGTCCTGCTATGGCCATCAGTCTTGTGGACTAGGAAGTTGAGTCCTGATCTGGAGCTGAGATATCAGTTCTTTTCTCCCTTGGTTCCTGGGTCCATTCGTCTCCAGAGCTTTTTCTGCTGCTTCTTCTTTTGTGAGGATGAATCCAGTGCGATGTGTTTTCTGCCAAGTTATAGATGATGACATCCTTCTGGGAAAGGTTCTTCTATATTAGGCTTTATAATGAACCATGCACATGTGAAGTAGTTCACAGTAAATCAACAGATATAAATAATAACATTCATTGTTGCTAAAAACTGAATATGAATTTAGCCAGTTGAAATGAAGATAGTAAAACCCACCCATTATTACAAGGTAAGATTTTCTGTTTTTTCTTTTGCGTTGTTCTACCTGCCTAATTTCTTTATCTAATGATCACTATAACATTTTAGTCTAACATTATTATTTTATTCAGTGTATAAAAATATCTGGTTTTGTTATTGGAAGCTTTGTGAAACAGTTTGCTCCTTTTATATTTTCTAAATCATTTTACTCATCATTCCTCATATGTGGCTCATATATCCTTGAATATATGCCCTTCTTTTACACAGTTTACACCTAGAGATAATTGTGGATCTCTTCAATTCTGTCCAGTCCACCAATTTTCTCATAAGTGTGCCATCTTGTTCTTATTTCTTATAGAAACAACCATTCCAGTTTAATGTCAAGATTGGAATTCTTTAGTTTTGTTACATAAAATACTTAAACATTATTAAAGAAGCAGTTTGCCTTTCTAAAGTTATGCTATAGTTCTATTGTTGGATCGCAAGACAACTGATTAATAAGTATTAACAAGAGTTTATTAGGAATACATATAATAAAACGAAGTGATTTTGAGATCGGAGCACAACTCAGAATCTAATAGATTTTTAAAAACTATCTCCATAGCTTGGTTGTCTGCAGATGTACTTCAGTAATGTTAATGTCATTTACAATCTAGAAGATTCTTTTCTCCTTTTGTTTCTTTGTACCATATGTACCTTTTAAAGGCTATTACTAGGTCTGCTCCTTCTATAACTGATGTTCTGCTGTTTGGAAATTTTATCCATTCTGTTATCCATAATAGGTAACTTGTTCTGTAATTCAATCTGAGATAGGGAATGAATGCATCACTTTCTTTTAAGTTTTGCAAGTTTTTGCAAGAGTTGCTTTGAAGCAAGATGGATGGCAAACAAATCAAATAACTAAATAAATAACCTTACTCTTGGTTGTTGTTTTTTCCTGCTCCATATACACACTAATTGTTCTTTGCCAGTCAGAAAATGATTTATGTAAGCTAGCTAAAAGGTAGCCAGTATCTGTCCATGACCTAGAGTTACTCAGTGTTTTCACTAATGCAAATAACTCCATAAAGTCACCTCAGGCACTAGTTATATTTTCAAAACAAAACTCTTAAGAATATTTCTTGCAGACCTCAGATTCAGACTGATTCTATGTTTAGCTCCTGAAAACGGTTTTTCCATTATGTAGAATAGGATAGGATAGGATGGGATAGGACAGGATAGGATAGGATAGGATAAAGATGGAAGGGACCTTGGAAGTCTTCTAGTCCAGCCCCCTGCTCAAGCAGGAGAACCTATATCATCTCAGACAAGTGATTGTCTAGCTTCTTTTTTAAAATCTCCAGTGATGGAGCACCCCCAATTTCTGGGGGTAAGATATTCCACTGGTTAATTGTCCTCACTGTCAGGAAATTTCTCCTTAATTCCAGGTTACTTCTGTCTTTGATCAGTTTCCAACCATTGTTTCTTGTCCTGTCCTCTGGTGCTTTGGAGAATAATGTGACCCCCTCTTCTTTGTGGCAGCCCCTCAAATACTGGAATACTGCTATCATGTCGCCCCTGTTTCTTCTTTTCTTTAGACTAGTCAAACCATGTCCTGCAGCTGTTTTCCATGTGTTTTACTGTAGTCTCCAGGCCTTTGATCATTTTAGTTGCTGTTCTCTGAATTTTTTTCAAACTCTCAACATCTTTTTTGTGATATGGTGACCAAAATTGGCTGCAGTATTCCAGATGTGGTCTTACTAGGATTTTATAAAGCGGTACTAATACTTTGCGTGATCTTGATTCTATATCTCTGTTTATACAACCCAGGATTGTATTAGTTTTTTTGGCTGCTGCTGCACACTGCTGGCTCATAGTTAAGTGATCGTCCACTAAGACTCCAAGGTCCCTCTCACAGTTACTGTTTTTAAGCCCTGTCTTGCCCAATATGCACTTGTACCTTTGATTTTTTTTCCTTACTAAATGTAAAACTTTTCTCCACATTTTGTTGGATAGGGCCCATTGTTCAAGTTTTTCAAGATCTTTTTGGATCCTGAGTTTGTCTTCTGGGGTGTTGGCTATACCTGCCAGTTTGGCATCATCTGCAAATTTGATGAGTTCCCCTTTAATTCCCTCATCTAAGTCATGTAGTTCAAGATGCTTTCCCTACCAGATATTAGATTAAACTTTGTCTTTTGGAAGAAATGAAAATTAAGCCAGGAAAATATGGTCAAATCCATTATTATGGCTTATTTTGAGTTGCTTTGTTCTTTCAGCTCTTTTCCAACTAAATAAATCTTTAATCATCTGATTCTAAGTGCAAATAGGATTCCCCATTGCTATTACATCAAATTACATCGAATTGTGAATATTATCTGAAATTGCTCCCAATAACTTAATGATGATTCAACAGATTTTTCTAGAAGCTACTTTTAAAAAACCATGATTCCACACTCTGCCCATGTAGATGGTTTGGGAGAACATGTGTCCCATTTTCTGTTTTATTGTCTTTTGTTTTCAGAATTCACTCTAATGAATGGGTTGATTTCAAACTGATTTCTTAAGGGTAAGCCGATTGGTATCGTCTTAGTATTCAGAAATTTGTACTTCTCAGAATAGCAGTCAAACCTCCTGACAGCAGGAGGTTTTCTCCTGTCAGCTTTTAAGGCCCAATCTAAATATTTATCATTTCCTCAGTTTAATGAATAGACTTTACCTAACATGAGCATTTTCCCCCTGTAATCATGTAATCTATATACTTTTTATAACCTACAACAACCCAGGGCTTTGAACTAAATTGAGAAATATGTCAAAATAAGGAAGTGGTAAATTACTTGCATATTGTTGTCCAAGAAAACTGCATGGTTGTATGAAGCTCACATCAAGGCAAACTCTTGCCTAATAATAAATGGTGTATTGGTTACACATAAGGTGACCAACTTTTTTACAATGAAAAGGAGGACACAAATAAATTGAAGAAAAAATATCGCAAATAAAAGAAACATTTTATTCATTGCAACAATAATACAGAATACATTATAATATGATAAATGCATAATAAAAAACATTTGTAACAATAACACTTTATATTGTAATTATGCTTACATGCCGCGCCCCTGCCCGCAGCCGCCCTGCCAGCACTGCTGCCCTGCCATGTAGAGTGGGCCCCGTGGCTCCCAAAGCACCAGCTGCACTAGCTCCGGCCCCGGTGGGCAGCCCGCCATCGACACACCCCACCTGCAGCCGCTTCACCAGCACCACCGCCCACCCTGCACAGCTCCGTGTAGAGCAGGGCCTGCAGCTCCCACAGCATGGGGGGCAACCAGCCACCGCCGCCCCTCACACACCCCCACCCGCAGCAGCCCCGCTGCCCCTGCCTCTTGCACCCGCAGCCATTATTGCCCTAGCAGGGCCAAAGATCAAGAGAAAGTTACCGTGGCATCGCTGCTCCAGTCTCCTCCAGGTATCTTTGGGACTAACTAGGAGATGGTGTAGTTGGGTAGCAGGGAGGGGTGCAAAGTTCCTGCCAATTCACCTTTGCTGCAGACAACTTACATGTGCAAAGTTTGTCGGCTGGGTGTTTTGGCACACTCAGCAGCAATTCCTATTGGCTTTCGAAAGCCAATAGGGGGAGTAGCACAGCTCATGCAAAAGTTGAAAAAAAAGCATCAATAAAGGTGCCGGAACGCTGTTTTGAGCATTCTATGAGAAAAAAAAGCCCTGCAGATTAGTCTTCAAATATCGAAAAGGAGGACATGTAGGAGGACACTTTTTGAGGGAGGACAGAACTTAAAAAAGGAGGACTGTCCTCCCTAAAGGAGGAAGTTGGTCACCTTATTATACAGTACCAGGTTATACAGTACCTGGAATCAATTGTTGTTGGCTGAATTATGAATATTTTAATAAAATAAATAACCAAACCCACATTTCAACTTCTTAACCCTCTTGTAAATCCATATAAGAAAAGAATATTGATGCATCAATAAAGAAAAGTGATTTAACGTATTTGTGTTTTGTTATTTTTCCTGTACAGTTATCTTTCTGTATTTTCTCCTTTGAGGAAACATATTTCTTCTGAAAAGCAGAGATCCACTTTAGGTATGTATTTGAATAAGGTACAGTATATATATACAGTATATATTTGCATGCTGTATTGTTCTTTTAGTGAATGTGCCTGTCATGGGAAAGAAAATAACCTTATAATTTAATTCAGAAAAAATAAAATTAAAAAAACAGAAAACGGGTGGGTACTTAAGTTTGTGTTTGTGGAAGCTATATATTGAGTTAATTGTGCATTTTGGCCAGTGATTCCCAAACTGTGATATGTAAGAAACAGAAGCATGCCTAGAAAAGAAGCTTTCTTTTCTGTCTTTCAATGTTGGTATGTTATAAGAAGCACCACTTTCTCTTGTTTCTGCTCATATATGGGGAATTACACCATAATAAACAATAAAGATAAGCTTGTATTGCAGTTAACTGAAAAGTAGGAATTTCATAAGCATTAATTTGTTCAAATAGCATATCTTATTCATATCTTGGTGAGCATAGTGTCAACATATTTGACACTATTTTTGTTTGTTGTTGTTGTTGTTAATTGCGAAGTCGTGTCCGACCCATCGCGACCCCATGGACAACGTTCCTCCAGGTCTTCCTGTCCTCTACCATCTTCTGGAGTCCATTCAAATTCACACCTACTGCTTCAGTGACTCCATCCAGCCATCTCATTCTCTGTCGTCCCCTTCTTCTATTGCCCTCAATCTTTCCCAGCATTAGGCCCTTCTCCAGTGAGTCCTTCCTTCTCATTAGGTGGCCAAAGTATTTGACTTTCAACTTCATTTTTGTTTAGATGGCTTTAAAACCACCTTTCAATCTTATGAACAAAGAGAGTAGTACCCAAATATCATTTTTGGCAATTCTTAAGCACAAAGGACTATTCTGGTAACTTTTTAAATGTTACAGTATAGTAAACATTACATTATTAGTAGAAGCAGTGGTACTATTGTTAAATTTTTAATCTGCCTTCAGATTGTGCTCCAGTATGAATTTAGAAAATGTTCTCCATATTACCAGACATTTGCGAATCACTGGTTATGTGTGTCTATTCACTACCATAATTAAGATACATTATGTATGAAAAGGCAGTAGGCATTGCAAATATCTAATGTGACAGGTAGTTTTGCATGTTAAAAAAGCATTTGTAGGTTTTATTAGACCTTCATTATTTTGTTTAATGTATATCTAATTGAATAGATATGTTCAATGAATATATCTAAAGCAATTTATATATAAAAATTACATATTTTTTCCAGTAAGGAAATAGGTCATCTGAAGCCTTTACAACTAATTTCCTATTTGTAGTAACATTAGTGAAGTTAACGAGTTAGGAATTTGACCTATTAAATCTACACTCGAAGTGTTTATAATTATGACACACACCATTATTTAAACATATGTTTTGCTAGATCGCTTTTCTACAAATGGGTCATTTAGTTTAGCAATCACTGATAAGCTTGTGTTCAACTCACCAAATTAATACTTGAAATACAATAACATAATTTCAGACTGGACTATACTATATATTATTTCAGATTTTTTTTAAAAAATGTAATAAAAATAAATTTATTTTGATTAAAACTTTAGTCAGCATAGAAAAGGAAGTTTAATTTATTAATAGCCAGCCATAAGTTTGATAAATAGTTTTTTCTAAGTGTAATCAGAAAAAAAAGGGGGGGGGAATCCCATTGGTGCCAGTGAGAAGTTTTGTTTTGTTTTTCCTGCTGTAATTTGTTTTGTAGGGTAAGATCTTTTTTTTTATGAAACTAAGTAATAGGAAAAAAAGAACTAAATAATATGGTTGAGTCCTGTGTGCTATGATTCTGAGTCAAAATAGACTGATCATCTTTATTGTTATATTTCTTTTTTGATCCACGAAGTGCTATTGCTTTGAATGTTACATTTGTTATGTCCGTCATTGGGTTGATATAGTTCAATTTTCTATTTTGACACAGTATAAAACATTGAGTTTACGGCTGGCTCCCATATGCATGCAAGCTCTTGATAGTTGATGACTCATTACTAAGCATATAAACTGACTCTGCTGAAAAGGAACAGGTCTGAGTTGGTTTGTCATTTGCTATTGGTTGGCTTCTTTTTTTACGTAACTATTTGTGATTTTATCTACGAACATAGATAACATAGATTTTATCTAAGAACATATATTTGCCAACTTCTGGAGGAATGTTAAAAATTGATCTAATGATCTAATACTGTCCAATCATGCATAGCTGGAGTCATTTTTTTAAAAAGGGTCTCTGGCATTAGGTTCTGCAAAATGTAGTTGGCTGTTCAGGAGGTGTGCAACTCTCTCCTGCAGATTGAGCATCTTATAACAATATTGGATCCCCTCACTTTGTTTGGTAGGTCTCAGTGACAGGCCTCCAGCTGTCTCAGGGGCAGTTTTAAAGGGAAAAGAACCTCTAGTTTACTTGATTCACAATTCTAACCACAACATCAAAGAATAAGCTTTCCCCCCCCCCATGGGAGATTATCTTTTGCAGAAACAAGTCCTGCTTCTAGTTATTAAATGGTATACGGCAAAATTATCTTCCTAAAACCTTTCCTTGAAGAATTTAGACTGTCAAAAATCACAACAGAAGTAACCTTTATCTGTTAATTTAGCAGTTTTGTAAGTTCTTTTTAAGTGTCAGTGTTGTTCCAGATTTGCTGTATAAAATCTTTGGAGAAGCTTTCATGGCAGTTTGCTGTTGAGAACTATGGGTGGATTCAAATCATGTTTGTCATTTTCCCCATTCATAATGGCATTAGCAGTCATCCGATAGTAATAATAGTTAACTTACAGTTAGTGCAGTGGTGTCGAACCTATGGCACGTGTGCCAGAAGCGGCACTCGGAGCCCTCTCTGTGGGCACGTGTGCCATGCCCCGAAGATGGCAAGAGACTGGCCCCCGCCATCCTGGCCCCACCCACCTAGTCTGCCATGACCACCGCAGCCACGCCCATCCGGCATCCCGTGATAAATAAGTGGGTTTTGGGTTGCAGTTTGGGCACTGGTCTCTAAAAGGTTCGACATCACTGAGCTAGTGTATTGCAAGAAAAGATAGCAGGATGTGCATGCTAATGCAAGTCACAAATTATTCTAGTAATATTAGAATAATTTTATGTTATGTAATAGGAATATAAATTTTACAGAGGATTTCCATATTAGGACTCTGAATCAATTTGGAACTAGTGCTGTACTTCTGTGAACCCACAAGCTTGGCTGTGTTTGAGAGCTGAGCTGATATCTGACACAACTGCAAGACATTTGAAACTGTAGTAAAATCAGGTTTTCTTTTAACACTGGAGGTTTGTGAGACTTGTGGGCAGTATAAAGATATTTTTATCACCATCCCTTCTACCTACTGACTTTGGGATTTTCAAGGGTGAATAGTGAATATCTGGCCCCTCTTCAGCTCCCTTTTATATGACTGATTTTTAAAAAATGTTTTATACTGCCAAACTCAAAAGCAGTTCCCGGTAGTTTATATCATAATGATGTTGGAAGGGTTTGGATCTTGGGGCAGTAGCAAATAATTTATTTCTCTTTTATTTGGTTAAAGAGATTTTTGTTCCCTGAAGGACCTGTGTCAAGCTAGTAATTTTTGTGAAGTTGGTAGATTCAAGAACGCCACAGATGATCTTCAAATAGTTTTTGAAAGACTGAGGAGAATTAGTGGTGAGATGGAAGTGTTCAGAGGGTGAGAGTTCTTTGCTCTCCAAGGTCTTGACTCAACACAGTATAGGAAATTTTAAGAAAATACTTTATTGCAACATCTTCTCCAAATAATAGGCTATTGCTCCAGAACTGGAATATCTCAATCCTTGCAAGGTGATGTTATTAAGTAAATGTATCTTTCATATTCAATCCTTCATTTCAACCTGTCACACTCAATTTCTGCTACACACGCCCATCTTCCCACTCTTGTCTTAGCATTTGCTAAGGCTGGGTGGGTGAAGTTGCTTCTGGATGTCAGCATCAGGGTGTGGCTAAATTAACACGGGTAGTTGCAATAGTTGTTTACCTCTGTGTTAAGGGACACATCAAGCAAAAGCAAGATAAGTAAATTATATTATGGCTTTATATAAGGGCAATTCAGAAATAAAACTCCATTTGAGCATGTGTGAGAAATAGGTGTGGATAGCAACGTCTGTCCTATGGTGCCATGCGCAGTAGTTCAGTAGGCAGTGAGGAGTGGAAGAAGGTTGTATTGAAGAAGGTCTGCTAGATCAATTGAAAATGAACCAGTTTTTTAAATGAAACAGTGGCTTGCATCACAGTGCTTCGACAATGACAACCCGCTTCACAATGCTGTTACAAGGTTGCTTCATTCCCAGGCAGGAAACTTTTTTTGGAGAAGGAGTTTCAAACCTGTAAGAGGCTATGACAAGTGCCTCAATTTGAATGGCAATTATGTCAAAAAGTAATGTAATGTCGTAGTTTTCTAATGTATATAATACAAAGTCTGTATCTGCGAGTGTCTGTCATTGATAACCAAGTGGAAGTTTATTTCCGAATTGCCCTTGTACAATGTTTAAATATCAAGGGATCTTGGACTAGCAACTAGCTGTCAGGTATTCTACAAAGTAACTTAAAGGCCAAAAGTAAAGGACTGAAGGACCATCTTCAGTTGGGTTCTTCCAACATATTCAGAAGATCTTTTAAAAATGAGCCTATTTTAATGATTGGGCTATATCACTTATTGATTTAAATGGGAGGGGTTTCATTTAAAGGCGGCAAAGGTTGCTTTTTGCACTTTACTTATTCTGCCATTTAATCATGGCAACCTGTTTAGAGAAATGATTCAGAAAAGCCCTCCCTGAATGTTCTGCCTCAGAGTGGTATCAAGTGCACAAACAAAGGGTAGTCAGTCAAAGATTCTATGCCTAAGCAAGCTGAAGACAAATTTCTGCCTCTGATAACAAGAGGCTGGAGATTTTGGGCAGTATTATTCCATCTATTTTAAGGAAGAGTCCCTTAAAGCAAGAGAGCTCCAGAGATGCTTAAGGCTTAATAGAACTTTATGGTCATTCTGCACTGTT